AATTGTTTTCAAATATCATTCATTTTCTTTATATTAAGTTTAATTAAGTTGACATTGTGTTTTTAGACATTCAATTAAATATTTATGTTTAAGGGTTGAAGGTATAGTTCTGTGGCAGAGTGCTTGCCTACTGTGTGTGAGGCCTTGGGTTCACTCCTCAGCACTGTAAAAAGCAAACAAATATTCATGCTTCATTTGGATGTTGAGGCTTCATTGCATCAAAGAAAATTTTTGTAGTCCTTGAAAAGCTCAAGATGAATTGTAGGCATATGAGATAAATTTTGTGTTAATATGTTAGAGGTATTATTCAAAATAGAGGTATTTACAAAATCTGAGATTTTCAAGAATTAAAAAATGTTTTATTAGCATTTGTACTATGTTTACTTGCAGAACTATAAGGTCCAAATCAAGAAATATCAAATATCAAGTAAAGACCTGCTTAAACATGCCTTTATGAATGTATCATGTATCAACAAAGGGAAGAAGGAAGTTTTCTTTTCACTTTGTTGACAGGAAATATTTAACATAAGCTAAACTTTTAGGATACGAGTGAATACTACTTACAACAAATACAAAAACTGATTATAACTATTTATTACTACTATTTCCTCCTGGCTGAAACCTTTTCTACAACATTTCCTTTTTCTTTCAGATCTGTCGTGGAGTATCAACGGTTGTTTACCACCTTTAATTTTATTCAATAAAAATTATTAGACATTAAATACATGGAATACGAGGATAGAAAAGAAATGACATCTGTTCTCAAATATTTTAGAGCCTTATTGGGCTAAATTCATGTGCCCAGAGCTCAAAGACACAGCCTCCAAGGGCTGTACAGAACTAAGGGAAGAACAACAGCAAGGGACAGGTTTGGCCCAGGCAGGCAGAGCTGAACTGTTTGGAGAATGAAGATGAAAAATGCTACTTCCAAATGGATGGAACAGCATGAACAAGAGCCAAGAAGAAAATGTGTAGATTGTGGAGATTGGCCTGGTTGAAGCAGAAGGGCCATGAGCAGGATGAATGGGTAGGGGAGACATTGAATAGTGGGTGAAGTGAGCTGGCTTATTGAGCGAGGAGTGGCCAGTGCATGATTTGAGGGACTGGATACTGTTGAGCTCTTGTAGGAGGACACTGAATAGTGAGAGACTTGCCTGCATCCTGGGAAAGATGACATCAGTATTGACTAGCATGGTGGTCCTCACAGCAACACTTCTCCTCTGACTATATTGGCTTCACTTATTAAGAGAATTCTTACTGGTTCAGCACTTTACATGCAGTATCACCTTCGATCTTTATATCAACCCTGAGAAAAGGATAGTCTCATCCATAAAGGATGAGGATAATATCCCATTGGGGCTTTGACATTATCATCTCACATCTGTGACTTCATGCTTTCAATCCCTCGACTTTCCCACTAGGTCTGTTGTCAAGTTTCTTGGGGTCATCAGTGTTTAATGGCTGTGTTCTAAGCTGTGGATTGGAGTGAAACGATTACTGTTTCTGATTTGGGCCTTTTATTTCTGCTAATGCAACATATACTTTCTGCATTATCTTTTAGCAAGTCGAGCATGTGTTAGCTCCCATGAAAGTTATGTATTACCAAAATCCTGGGTGTCATAAGAAACTTTCAACAAGCCAGTTCTATCCTACATTGAACATACTAAATCCAAACACAATTTTGCATTTATCTATTTTGAAATGGTATCTTTTGATTTTAGTAAACCCTTGTAGCCTAGAGAAATCTATTTGAATCCCAATTCTGTGTGCTAACAAGTAAGTCCTCCACAACAAACAGGCACAGGCACATAACACAATCTCTCTCTGTCTCTCTCTCTCTGTCTCTCTGTCTCTCTCTCTCTCTCTCTCTCTCTCTCTCTCTCTCTCACACACACACACACACACACACACACTCACTCACTCACACACACAACCACACACATACACACATACATATCTTTTAATGAGTACAGCCTTAGGAGACACTGATAATTTCAGAAGAATTGAGAGCTCATTAATCTAAATCCCTCAGAGCACATACAGTCTTTTGAGATGGACTTGGAAGGCTCCTTCCCTTCTGGAGAGATTCTTAAAAGGACTAGACTCTTCCAGGAGGTTCTCCCAGGACAGGGCTGAAAGGGGAGTGCTAAGACCTCCCTACAAAGAGGATGCATAAAGGGGACATCTGTGAAGGAAGTAAAACCTCTCTCCTTTGAGAATAATCCCAAGGTGTGTCTTTGATCCCAGCTTCTAGACTTCCACCCTTGTCTACTCCACCTTGACTCTAGTCGCCCAAGATCTTTGCTAAGAAAGAGGCTCCACCTGGGCCCACTTTCCTTACCCAATAACTGCATTTCCTCTGCCACCCCAGAGAAGATCTCTGCCATCTCTGAATTCATTCACTGTTTAAAATGTCAAATGAGACAGGAAAGAGATATGAAGACATGCAACCAGAGACTTTCCCTTTGCATCAGCGTTGATCACATAGCACATTCCATAATAAAGCACAAAGAGTAATTTTGGTGCAGGAGGGGAAAATATATTCAACTCTTCAGAGAGAACTACCTAGTTTGAGGATGGGAGAGTAAGGAAAAGGTAATATGTTTATTAGAACTTGTTTGTAAGCTGAAGTTGGCAATGATTCTTAACTGGGAAAGGCAAATATAAGAATGTAAGAATTTGTGGGAAGGTTTCTGACAGCTACGTATCTCTTCCAACCTCTTATGGGTCAGCATCTTCACCAACCAGAGTCACTTTTATTGAGGCAAATGGACTGTATTTTTTCCAATTCTCTTGGTTCAAGAAAAAAAGGAGTATGAAACTACCCATTGGACAAGAGAGAAACCTATAAGCTGTACGTCGCTTGCCCTACTGCTCTAGTCTTGCAGTGGAGTCTGGCTTGAATGGGTTCCTACAGCTATGGACACGAGCAAGCTAGATTGCTTTTGCTCAACAGCCAAGCCTTGAGCATTCATGTTCACAGAAGCTAAAACTGAGAACACAAGATAGGACTCCACACAACAGACCTACCCCAGAAATTAACATTGTGAGGGTCCCCCTTTCTGTCTCACAAGAACATGACCTCCTCCCTGCCCTCTGCTTATTCTCTGGAAGTCAGTGCTGGGGGGGGGGGGGTCTTTCTCCCCACCCCCTTCTTCAAGGTACTAAAGTCAGACACATAGTAACTCTTTTGGCCACATAAGTTTTTTTTTGTTTAATTTTGTGACAATGTTTCTAAGCTTCTAATTGCGAAGTGATACAACATGGTCATTTATGGGGAAAAGTGAATTAAAACAGCTCTGTGTATTATTTAACCTAAAAGAAAAGAAAAACTGAAGGCACCTGGAATTTGCATTCCTTTAATCCCTAATGTAGAACTGGTTTCAGATTTTGTATCACTAATAAATATGACAATTGGAAAGAAAGCAAACCCTGAGTCCAGGAAAGAAAGCAAACCCAAAATTGGGACTCATAATTATTTAAAGGTGATTATAGAGAAATCAACATTTTGCATTAATAAAAACAATCTATATACTGAAACCATCTAAGAGAATCTTTCATTTTTCGTAATTTGTTTTAAACATTCTAACTCTTTAAAATACTTAATTTTGCCAGGTGCACTGGCATATGCCTATAATCCCACTGGCATGGGAGGCTGAGGCCACAGAGGATTGCAAATTCAAAACCAGCCTCAGCAATTTAGCAAGGCCCTAAGCAACTCAGCAAGATCTTGTTTCTAAATAAAAAAGGGGCTGGGGTTAAGCGCCCTGGGTTCAATCCCCAGTACAAAAAAAAAAAAAAAAAAAAAAAAAAATCAAATCAAATTTCCAATACATTTTTTTATTTAAAGATTTTTTTTTTAGTTATAGATGGATATAATACCTTTATTTTATTCACCCACTTCCATGTGGTTCTGAGAATCGAACCCAGTGCCTCACATGTTCTAGGCAAGCACTCCACCATTGAGCAACAACCCCAGCCCCTCCAATACATTTATTTTTGAAAGTGATATAGAACAAACTGTATGTGATTCGGTTATCTTATTGAATTTTTAAATACTTAATATTTCAAACAAAGAAAAATAAGAATATAAACTGCACTGCTAAGTAAATTTCCCCAAATTCATTTCCAATATCAATTTAATTTCCATTATAATAATTACAACATTTTCAAGCCAGAGGTAAGAGACTGATGGCAATGATAATGTATGTGTGATCTGCCACTCAGGTCTCAATGCTGCTCAGCCTGTGTCACACAGGTGGAGAAAGCTACTGGGGCACACCACTATTGAAAGAATCCGTGCAACAAGTACACTAAGTCCCAACACATTCTGGCCAACCACTTCTTAATGCCACACCAGGTCTCGGTACTCTCCTGTGCCCAGTGATCTGGGTAACTGTCTAAGCTTTAGCTTCACTGGACCAATAAGCACTATGAATTGCTATATGCCAAATATTGTTTAAAGTGAAATAAAGATTATGTACTACAAAGCCCAGACGTTGGCTGCTTTCATTAAAATAGGATGGGAATATGAAATCTTTACAGAAAAATATTTTTGTTCTTGTTTGACAATAACAGTCTGCACATTGTCTTAAGTGGGTCCCCATAATACTTGACATGAATACTATTTTTTTAAACTTGAAGGTTTTCTTTGAAGCAGGTAAAACCAAGTTTTATTCTGGTTTATTAATAAGGAAGCACTCCAGAATGAGGAGTAAGAAAACAGTGCACAGTAATAAACAGAGCTTTCTAAATCAGGTGACTTAATCAGTCCACAGAGAGTTTATGGCAACAGAGGAGGCAATCACCCAAAAGAGCTCTAGAAAAATCAGCTTTTGCCACAAGGGCTTTGAGTACATATATTAACTGGAGAGTCCTAGAGAAACGGTGCGGATGCTACAGCCACCCCTGGTTAACCAGCACTAAGATTTGGTGAGAGAGCCCAGAAAGTCGCTATTTTTAAAAACATGAAATAAAAATAAAATAAAGCCAAACCTTACCAGAAAGGAGCAGGCTGACTCCATAGAGCACGAGGCCGGCTAAAGAGTCCATGCTTTCCCAAATCTCTCCATCCAGCGTCCACAGATGTGCATGAGGTCCCAAGGATCCTTTCAAAAACCCAGAGCTTTGTGACTTTCCACTTGCATGTTCTGCTAGCTCTTGTTTACAAGTTCGAGGCAAGAAGGAACAGCACAGAAGCAGGCTGTAACAGTCTCATTTCTGTCTGAGCACAGGGAGTTTTAAGTTCCTTTTTCCTGTTTCCTTTGTAGATTAGGATGGGAAAGGCTGTATCTTAAAGGCATTTGGTATCAGCAGGGCTGGGGGCACTGCAAGCCCTGTCCATCTTGCAATTCATCAAAACACTTATCTGTTGCTCCTGCTTCTGCCTGTGCTGCTGTTGTAGGAGTAGAGGAATTTTTGTTGAAAGTTATGAGTCCTGGTCAGCATTTTCAGAAACAATGGGGGTATCCTCTCATAGGCGGAGACCTGGGAATAACAAGCTCTCCACCTATGTATGGTATGTGATGAAGATCAGGCCTGGGGGGGGGGGGACCTCTAACAGCTCTCCCAGCTCCAGAAGGGTCTTGTGGGCGTGGGGAGCTTTTGCTTTTGTATTCTCAGTTTAACCCACATGGTTTGCATTGGGGGGGAAAAAAGTTTCCTGTGGCGAGAAAACACAACCTGGAAGGCGATTAATTTGAGAAAGCACCGGTGAGGTCAGTTCTCAGCGTAACCAAGAGAGAACAGAGTCCAAAATTGTTAGTCTGTTTTCTTTCACACAGATGGCCTATTTGCTGGCCAGGAGCCCAAACACAGGCATGCTACTAGCTATGGCTTTAATTTTTATTAACATTTCATCTAAAAAGGTGATCTAATTTCGTGAAGCACTTGGCATAGTACGATTTTAATAATGAGTAAGGCACAGTGGTGCATGCCAATAATCTCAGCTACTCCAGAGGCTGAGGCAGGAAGATGACAAGTTCAAGTCCAGCCTGGGCAATTTAGTGAGAGCCTGTTAGAAATTAAAAAAAAAAAAAAAAGGCTGGGGGTGTAGCTCAGTGATAAAGCACCCCTGGGTCCAATACCCAGTATCAAAAACAAAACAAAGATTTTTATAATGGGAAGAATTTCACAGTTATTAACCAACAGTGTTTCAGAAGTAAGTTATATACATATTTTTAAAAAGTAAAAATCAAAACAAATTCCCTCTAACCTAGGAGAGAAATAATATACTTCAGGGCAGTGAGAATCCATGGGCCAAAATAAAGGTGCCATTGGAATAATGATATCTAACACAAGCTCAGAGACCATATTCTTATCCAGTGATCATTTCTTCACAGTATGAATTATAATTTTAGGATAGAGTAGGCATTCCGCTCCTCACTGTCTTCCCTCCTTAGTAAAAAAAAAAATTTCTACCCCATTTCCCACTCATTATGGGAAAAGGCAGATGCTACCAATCTTGAGTAGTTCCTGATCCAGGTTTTATCACATTAGAGATGATCATAAGAACCAAATGATATTTCCAGCCTGCGGGGAGGGCAAACTTGATGCTCTGTCTTCAAGCACACCTGGGATCCAATGCCGACTCGGCCACATGTATTTGAGACAAGTTAACAACATGGGTTTTAGTTTCAGCAAATGTAAAATGATAATAATAACTCCTTTGTGAGTTGTTTTTTGAGAAGATTAAGTGAGGTTTAAAAATACGTATAAATACTAAGTACCATACCTAGTTCATCAAAGGTTTTCATTAGATGTTAATATGTTTATTTCTTCTCATATCTCCATTCTGTTTTTTATTTAGGTCCGAAGAGCTTCTGCCAAAAAGCTACTCTCTATTCCTGTGAAATGGCTTTTAAGTTTGGCATTGTAAAGGACCAGAAGTCTGGCATTGTGGGCTCTAATGTCACCTCTGCCATGATCTGCCTGTGAGACCTCAAGCAAGTTTCCCACCTCTAGTCCTGATTCCTCAATTGCAAAATGAAATATTTAGACTGGATGTGACCAATTTCTCTTCAGGTTCAATCATCTCAGAAGTCTAAAATGACTTAGTAAATGGTTCTACTCTCAGCACCCCAGGTTGCTCTCCTAGATCCTTTAATCTGAGCAGTTGTGAGAAGATGCTGGATTTGTATCTGTGTCACTGTGAAAACCTGGGAGGGTCACACATGTGTTGTTTTGAAAACATAACAGCTACGATTTCCTGAGATCCACTGGCCCACTTTGTGGGGCAGTAATGAAGGGCCTTGGAAACAAGCCCCTGGGCACCTACCTCCCCAGGCACAAGCTTCCTGTTTGTTTTTGAAAACTATGCCCGGAAGTAATCATTGCCTAAAGCCTCACCTGTTGTCTATTTCTTGTGGGCTGAAGGTGCTACCTTGCTGTCTTTTCTAGGCTGACTTCCTGTTATTCAGAAAAGCAGCTTATTTTCATCCTTTTCCCATTATCCAGGAAAATGCACTGTTACCCAAAGATGTTGTTCAAGTTCTTCCTCTCTCCATTAACCAGAATGGTTGACCCACCTTCATTCTTCTCTCTACATTCCAGATGTTTCAGTTTAATTCCCTCTTACCCAGAAGAGTGAAGTGGTTTAATTTTACCTTCCAGGATCCATAAAGATTATCCCATTTCTTTCCATTATTATCCACAAGAGTGGCTCAGTTTAATAAAGGCTGCTAGGTTTCCAAAGCCTATGCATCTATAAACTAGGCAAAAAGCTAAGCAGCTTTTCTCTGGGATGTCAGAATCTTCAGCATAGAGAAAAATTTCCAGGCGTCAAGTGAAGGTAACTTGTGCATGAAAATTGACGGACAACAAAGTGTGGTGATAGATGCTTGTAATCCCAGATTTCAGAGACTAAGATGGGAGGATTCCAAGTTTGAGGACAGCCTCAGCAATATATAAGACCCTGCCTCAAAATAAAAAATATAATAAAAAATAAAAACAGAGAAAGCTGAGGATATATCTTAGGAGTAGAGTACCTCAGGTTCAATTCCCAGTACCACAAAATAAATAAACATTCCAGAAACTCCAGATTTCTGCCCATGGATCTTAGAACATGGAGAATTTATGAAGAGGCAGTATGAGCTTCACCAAACATTTGGGGACCAATAGTTTGCAGAGCTGATTGGCAACAGGTTGGGAAGTTGCAAAACTGGATGGCACGGCAGGATTTCCAAGGGAAGGGCGAGGCCACTTCCATGTCTGGACAGGATTTTTCCCAATACATAACATATTAAGGAAATAAGCTGGACATGGTCACAACCCTTCTCCAGAAAACCAGTAGTGGCCATTAGAGCATCTTCATTCTCTGAAGCGTCCCCTTGAGGAGAAGGCGAGACAACCTTCACTTCTCAGGTGCTCCATCCCTCTAGAGAAGTTGAAAATCTCTTTGAGAGCTCAGCCTCAGAAAGATCTCCCCTATTGTCTTATAGTCTGTTCTTTTCGGGTATTAATCATAATTGTTAATTACACATTTGTGCCTTTATTTTATTTTATTTATTTATTTAGACAGCATCTCCCTATGTTGGGCAGGCTGGTCTCTAACCTGGACTCCTCCCTTAACCTCCTGAGTTTGGAAATTACGTGTGCATGCCACCAGGCCTGACAAGATTTTCTGTTTTAAATGTTTTCCACTGCCCCCTACTTGACTGCAGTCTCATGAGACTGGGACTATATATACCTTTATACCTTTATTATTCACCATTAATTCCTTGATCTGAGTACAGTGGGGTTTTTGTTATTTGTTTGTTTGGTACTGGGGATTGAACCCAGGGGTGCTTTACCTCTGACTATACCCCCATCCCCTTTTAGTTCTTATTTTTGAGACAAGGTTTTGCTAAATTGCTGAGACTGTCCATATAATCCTATCTCATCCTCCCCAGTCGCTGGGATTACAGGTCTGTGCCATTGTGTTCGGTTAGACCTTAAACAAATGCTTAATGAATGAATAAAATGAAAATACTTCCATTGTTACTCATATGCACATGTCAAGAAATGGGCTTTGGAATCAGGCTGCATCTGCTGTATCTATAATTTACTCTCTGTGTGACCTGGGCAAGTGAAGTCAGATCTCTGAACTTCAAGTTTCTCATTACTAAAATGGAGGGGAAACAATAACAAGTTAGGCAAGGGACCATAATACATACCTGTAATCCCAGCCGCTCAGGAGGCTGAGACAGGAAGAGCATGAGTTCAAACCCAGCCTCAGCAGCAGTGAGGCACCAAGCAATTCAGTGAGACTCAGTTCTAAATAAAATACAAATAGGGCTGGGGATGTGGCTCTGTGATTGAGTGCCCCCGAGTTCAATCCCTGGTAACCTCCCCCGCAAAATAATAATAATCATAACAAATTAGTAAGATCTACAACATCAGGCACAAATACATACTGAATAAGAGTACTTGAGGCTTCCTGCTTTACCCACAATCACCACCCCCTTGGACTGTTAAACAGCTATTTGCAATGAGGAAATGAAGTCCCACACAGGCCAAGTAGCTTGCTTGGTTATTGGTAAAGAAGCAGTATCATAATTCTGATCTATTGGTCTCTGATTTTTGCAAGTTTAGTATATGTGCATTTTTTTTCATAGTTCACTTCATAAACCACAATATGCAAAAAAAAAAAAGATCAAGAGAAATCACTGAGAGAGTAGTTCATAAATTTAGGAAAGCTTTTGAAATGAAACTCTGACAAGTAATGAAAAAGTCTGGTGACACTGAAAACACAGTTCTCAGCATGCTTCCAAATAGTAATAACTAACATTGGGATCTATGGGTGCCCACTGCCTTGCTCCAGGAAAGCCAAAGGGTGTTCCCTCATGAGTCCATACCAAATCAGTTTAATTTGGAATTTCCAAACACAGCAGAACAAGAAAGAAAACCAAATTGATCCAAACAAACAAGGTACTTGGGGCTAATATTTTCATTTTCGTTTTCTGCCTTTTTTACTCAACAGATTAAAAACATCTATAGACAACATTAAAAGTCTTAAAGAGATAGATCAGCAAAAATATAAACAGATAACAAAACAACTTTTGTGAAAGTCTATGGAAAATAACTTACCAATGCTACTACAACTGGCACTGTATGTCTAGAGGGCAGTATCACAGATTTGTAGCAAAAGCCTTATAGACACATCCTTCCACACAGAAATTCACTTTCATGATATACACAAAGCCAAAATCAAGAGGTGCTCCAAAATGTATGTTTACAAATATTATAGAAGCATTGTTGGTAATAATCAAAACCAGGAAACAATCTGAATAGCCAACAAATATGGATTTTTATATAAATCCTGGAACATAATAAGGTACCATACAAATATTAAAAATTGTGGTAAAAGCATATTAACATGGAGATGTGAAGATGGTATGGTATGGTATCATATTAACATGGAGATGTGAAGATGG